CTCCTCCCCTTCCTTCCCCAGAGACATGCCTTCCCTACACAGCTTGAAGCCATTCCCACCCCGACAAATATTATTTCTTCTGCTACATCTCACAAGTTTGACTGAAGGCTCCCCTGCTGACCCTTTTCCTCATTCCTCCCCCCCACCGCTGACCCTTTCTCCCTCACTGCTCCCCTGAATCTTTCCACTGCCCCCATGGGGATGGTGCTACCCACTTTTGGAATCACTGGAGTAGATAAATGTCAGGCTAGATCAAGGGGGGAGTAACTAGCTGTGGCCCTCCAGATGTTTTGGTGTGGCAGCTCACATCATGCCTTACTGTTGGTTATACTGGCTAGGGCTCATGGGATTTGTAGGCCAAAAACATATGGAAGACTGCAATTTGCCTAGCCCTGGAATAAAGATAGACTGGTGGTATCTGCTTGGATTCTGAAAGTGTGGCAGTGCCACCCCTGTTCTAATATCCGTCCTTAATCCTAAAGCTACTGAAACTACTAATCCAGTGGTCCCCAAACTTTTTCGGACTACCGCCCCCTTTCCTTTTGGGCAGCAACCCTAGCATTCCCCCCCTCCCCAGTGCATATTTTTTTTATATTGGGCCTGCTGTTCTCTGTATAGTCATGCTGGCCACATGACCACAGAATCATCTCTAACAATAGTGGTTCCCTTGGCTTAGTAACAGAGATGAGCACCACCCTCTACAGTTGGATATGACTAGACAATTTTCTCAAGGGAAAATCTTTACCTTTACTTTTCTCTTGCAAATCCGTGCTTCCTTTCCATGCAGTCACCTTGGGAGCAGCAACCAAGCAGCTGTCTGAGCAGTGACCAAGAAACTCCTTGCTTGTGCAGGGTCCCAAATTTGAAATCCCCTTTTTGCTGCTACTCTTTGTTCCAGTCTGTCCCAAAATGGTGCCACTCTGAGCCCCAGAAGTGATGTCCTGTGCCCAAGCCTCACAAGAGTTTCCCAGTTGCCAGTACTAGCGAAAGATGCCGGTAAGGGAGTAAGCTCACATGGGCAGGCAAAGAGCGGGAGACACCACCACACAAAATGATCAGTGAGGCTGTGTGGTGGTTTTCTGGGGACCCTGAAAAGAAGTTTAATGTAATCCTCATCTTCATCATGGTCCTAAAGACTGCTTGTTCCCCTTGTCTTTTCTGCACACTAATACTTTGA